GTCAATCAACAAGATTCTGATCTCGGATCTCGGCAATACCTCGGCCTGAACTTCACCAGGTCGGGTAGCGCAGCGGAAAAATCAAAACGAAAAACAGGAGAGAGAGGAGAAGAAGAGAGAGAGAACACAAGCAATTTTCAACGTGGGAAAACCTTCTCCAATGAAGAAGTAAAAAACCCACATGACCTAGTCCAGATAAAAAATCCACTATAAAGATAATGGTTACAAATAAAACTTACCAATGTGGTGGTTAACTCAACCTTTCCAACAATGGTGATAATCAAACCTCCCTAGAGATGTTTCACTCAAACTCTCTAGAGATCTCTCAAATACAAAGCATAAAGCTTTGCTCAAATCTCTCAAATAATTCTCTCAAATTTTCTCTCTTATCTCTTAATCTAGCCTCCACCCACAACTAATGAATATATAGAGGAGGTGAGATCTAGGGTTAGGATTTTTAGGAAACCCCTCGATGGGCTTGAGCTTAGCATTGAAGGAGGAAGCCCAACAAATCTCCCCCTCCGACTTCAATGCTTCGGCTTCAGCATCAGCCCGGCTCCTTCACAGCAGTCTTCAAATTTTCTTGTTGGAACCGGCTTCGTCATCATGTCGGACCAATTTTGGTCAGTGTGCACTTTGACGAGTTCGAGCTCTCCACCCTCCACCACATCCCGGATCCAGTGATACCTCACATCAATATGCTTAGTGCGGGAGTGATAGGTCGAATTTTTCGCAAGATGGATTGCGCTTTGATTGTCACAACCCAGCTCGTACTTATCTTGATCATGGCCGAGTTCCATGAGGAACTTCTTCATCCACAGCATCTCTTTGCTTGCCTCAGTAGCGGCAATGTACTCAGCCTCAGTTGTTGATAGTGCAACACATTTCTGTAGTCTTGATTGCCAAGAGACAGCTCCTCCGGAAAATCTCATCATATATCGCGTCGTCGATTTCCTCGAGTCGGAATCTCCCCATAAATCAGAATCCGAGTAGCCTTGCAACTCGGCTCTGCCTTCTCCAAATCGGAGGCATAAGTTGGTCGTACATCAGAGTTACTTGATTGCGAAGGACGAGCTCAACGCCTTTTTCAGGGCGGCTATCCTCAATTTGTCTTTCCCTACAATAAGCATGTCGTCAACATATAACAACAAAATCAAAAAATCTCCGGTCTCATACCTCTTCACAAATGCACATTGGTCGGCTTCTGTCTTCTCAAACTTGTGATCAGTCATGAATGATTCAAATTTCTTGTACCACTGCCGAGGGGCTTGCTTCAAGCCATAGAGGCTCTTCTTCAACCGACATACCAAGTCTTCTTGGTCTGGAGCTCGGAACGCTTCAGGTTGCTCCATATAAATTTCTTCTTCTAAATCACCGTGAAGAAATGCTGTCTTCACGTCCATTTGTTCTACCTCGAGGTCCATCGAAGCCGCCATGGCTAACACGGTTCGGACCAAGGTCATTTTCACCACAGGAGAAAAAATATCCTCAAAGTCTACTCTTTTCCTCTGATTGTAGCCTTTCACCACAATCCGGGCTTTGTATCTCGGCTTCTGCTCGTTCTCTTCATTCTTAATCTTGTAGATCCATTTGTTTTTCAAAGCTCATCTTCCTTCAGGCAGCTTGGTCAGCTCATAAGTCTGATTCTCGTGCAGAGACTTCATCTCGTCTTGCATTGCCTTTTCCCATTCTTCTTTCTCTGAGCTCATCACAACCTCATCATAACTCTGAGGCTCACCGTCTTCAGCAACAACGGTGTATTCATCAGATGTGTATCTTGTAGAGGGTCTTCTTTCTCGAGTTGGATATCTCAGTTGTTCTTCAGCAAGAGAACCCGGTTCATCATTCTCATCTCGGATCTCATCATCAACTCGGACCTCAGTGTCTTGGTTATCCTCAGCTGGTTGCTGGTCATCAATTTCTTCATTTTCATGATTTTCTCCCCCTGCTTCAGCTCGGACAGGAGGGATGGGTTCTTCTCTTCTGACAGTAACTCGGACTTTGGGCTTCGAGGTGTCATGAATGTTCTTATCTTCATGAAAGATCACATCTCGACTTCTCACTATCTTTTTATTGATTGGATCCCAAAGTCGGAACCTGAACTCACATCTCGGCGAACCAAGATAGATGCATTCTTTTGTCTTTGCATCAAGTTTAGCCCTTTCATCTTTAGGGATATGCACGAAGGCTCGGCATCCAAACACCTTTAATTGATTATAGGTCTCTTTCCGACCTGTCCAGACTTCTTCTGGAATTTCTCCTTCAAGTGGTCGTGATGGTGAGAGGTTGATTAAGTCAACAGCAGTTCTGACGGTCTCCCCAGAATGATTTCGGTAACCCGACATTGGATAACATGCTTCGTACCTTCTCTTCAATAGTTCTGTTCATTCGCTCAACCAGTCCATTCAACTGTGGAGTCTTGGGGGGCGTCTTCTCAAGTCGAATCTCGGCCGCTCTGCAATATGCATCAAATGGACCACAATACTCACCAGCATTTTCAGATCGGACCACCTTCAATTTCTTTCCAGTCTCCCTTTCAACCATTGCATGGAATTCTTTAAAGGATTGGAGTACCTGGTCTTTAGACTTCAACAAATATACTCACACTTTGCAGGAATGGTCATCAATAAATGAAACAAAGTACTGAGCTCCTCCAAGGGATCTTTCCAATATGGAGCAAACATCAGTATGGACGAGGTCAAGAATATACCTGCGTCGTCTGGGTTGATCCGGTCTCACAAAAGAAACCCGGTGCTGCTTTCCAGCTAGGCAGTGCGTGCAACTCTCCAACGCTTGGCCTTTCAACCCGGTCAATGATCCTTTCTTGTTCAGGATTTGTAGCCCTTTCTCGCTCATGTGGCCGAGGCGCTTGTGCCATAGCTCCAAGCTAGACTCATCTCGGACAGAATTGGCTTCTCCGCCATTGATCTTTCCTTGCATCACGTACAAGGAGCCTTCCTTCTTACCTCGGGCCACGACCAAGTTTCCCTTGGCCAGTTTCCATCTAACACTACCGAAGTAGTTCACTAATCCGACATCATCAAGTTTGCCTACCGAGATTAGGTTCAAACGCATGTCAGGTACATGCCTCACATCCTTCAACACAAGTCGGCATCCGACATCTGTGGTCAGGGTTACATCACCGACACCAACAATCTTGCTGGTCACTTGATTTCCCATCTTCACTACCCCAAAATCACCATCTCGGTAAGAGGAGAAAAAACCTTTGTGTGGAGTAACGTGGAAGGAGGCACCAGAGTCAACAATCCAGGTGCAGTCATCATATGCAACATTCAGATAATTATCCTCACCTAGGAGGAATATCTCGGCATCAGGATTGGCAACCACCGCAGTGGTGCTCTTGTCTTCCCTCTTCTTGGGAATAATATGATCCGGCTTCACAGAGTCATTCTTCTCGTCATTCTGTAGGGTCCAGCAGTCCGGCTTCTTATGACCTGTCTTTCCACAGTAAAAGCACTCCAACTCATATTTCGGCTTTGACCGACCTCTGGACTTTTCTCGCCTGTCACGACCTCGACCCCGACTTTTGCTTCTACCCCGGGAGTCAGATTTTCCTCTGTTCTCAGCAACGTTGGCCTCAGACGTGCTCGAAATACCTTGTTCTCTTCTCCTGGCTTCTTCACCCAAGAGGTTGTTTGTCAGGACATCCATCTTCAATTTTTCATCTGGAGTCGAATTATTCAAGGTCACCACCAGAGTATCCCAGCTTTCTGGCAGCGAGCTCAATAGCAGCAAGGCCTGCATCTCGTCATCAATTTTCATATCAGCCTTTGACAGCTGATTCCCAATACCTTTGTAGGTGTTGAGGTGTTCAATCATACTCATGTCGTCCTTGTATTCCAACTTCACAAGTCGGCGAACCAGGTGTGCTTTGTTCCTAGGAGTCTTCTTTTGAATCAAGGACTCTAATTTCGTCCACAACTCGTACGCGTTCGTAAACTCGGACACGTTCTCAAAGAGGCTCTTGTCAATACATTTTCTTATTGTAGCTACCGCCTTACGACTCTGAATCTCCCACTCCTTATCGGTCTTGCCTGCCGGTTTCTCATCAAGGATAATGGGCTCATGTAGATCTTTGCAGTAGAGATAATCTTCCATCATCGGTCTCTAATAGGTGAAATTGTCTGCGGTCAGCTTGAACATGTCTCCATCATTGGTTATGCCACTGGTCTCCATCTCGTCTCCCTCAGAGCCTGTCGAACTCGAGCTCTGATACCACTGTTGGGAACACGGTTCCCTCAAGCTCGGCTAAGCAACCTTTGTGCGGAAGTCAATCAACAAGATTCTGATCTCGGATCTCGGAAATACCTCGGCCTGAACTTCACCAGGTCGGGTAGCGCAGCGGAAAAATCAAAACGAAAAACATGAGAGAGAGAAGAAGAAGAGAGAGAGAGAACACAAGCAATTTTTAACGTTGGAAAAACTTCTCCAATGAAGAAGTAAAAAACCCACGGGACCTAGTCCAGATCAAAAATCCACTATAAAGATAATGGTTACAAATAAAACTCACCAATGTGGTGGTTAACTCAACCTTTCCAACAATGGTGATAATCAAACCTCCCTAGATATGTTTCACTCAAACTCTCTAGAGATCTCTCAAATACAAAACATAAAACTTTGCTCAAATCTCTCAAATTTTCTCTCTAATCTCTTAACCTAGTCTCCACCCACAACTAATGAATATATAGAGGAGGTGAGATCTAGGGTTAGGGTTTTTAGAAAATCCCTCAATGGGCTTGGGCTTAGCATTGAAAGAGGAAGCCCAACAGTATGAGTGTGTGATACAGGGCTTGTCTTGATTGATTGTTTATTTGGCAGAGATATTTGGCCTTTTGAGGTCAGATTTCGTGCAACATTGTCTCTGTTGTTTTTTTTTTTTCCCTTGTATTCCTTCTTCCATCAAACCTCTCACCTTCTAAAATCATTTTGACAAGCTGTGAAGATAATTTCAAGAATTAATTTCATTGATATATTTTCAGGATCCCTTGAAGAATGGGGTTTTGGCGGTTCAAACTATTCGCAACAACATCATGGCATCTACTCTTCTTGCTACAACTGCAATCACACTCAGTTCACTTATTGGTATTTTTGCTAACAGTCCATGGTTTTCTGATGACATGGCTTCCATACCTTACAGTAGTTCTTCAATCAAACGCATTTCTATCACCATTTGCTTCCTTGTTGCATTTCTATGCAATGTGCAGTCTATAAGATACTATGCCCATGTCAGCTTTTTAATCACTGCACCTACACTAAGAGACAAAAGGGAGTATATGGAATATATTGCTAAGACCTTGAATCGTGGAAGTCATTCTTGGTCCCTTGGATTGCGAGCATTTTACTTTTCATTTCCACTCTTCCTATGGATTTATGGGCCCATACCCATGTTTGCTTGTTGCTGCTTGACTTCATTTATTTTGTACTTCTTGGATACAACAGCTAAAATCACAAGGGATCTTCACAGTGACTCATTCAAGAAGGAGAGAATAACTCATGATGTAGAATCTGCAGTAGTGGAACCTGATTATTATCCTTTAGCTGGTAGTAATAATTTGTCTCCAGACTCAGGCGTGAATCGTGTATAACTAATTATACATGTAACAATTTTGGTGAGCTTTTGTATGTTTCTATTGAAAAAGTATGAACATGAGCCTTGGGAAGGATTCATTTAGAGTACTAGGTAGTATTTTTTTGTTTCTTGTATAATGGTCGTATAATTCATTTACAACGTCTTTGCATTAGATACTTCTCATAATTTGCACTTCCTTGGCATGATGTTACCCATGTGCTTGCTTACAATTTACTCAATCATTTTTGCTAAAGCAGAGGTTACAGGTTCGATTCATTTAATCAGCCTTTTGCAAATGTAAGTACTCACTTGCAAATATATGATAAGACTACCTACTATAATGTCACAAAATGAGTCTTACCCTACCCTGCACATAAATAGAGCTTTGTAGCACTAATTGCCTTTCCTTTTTCCTGTACCTTTGCAGTTGGAGATTTAAACATTCTCCACTCTGCTAGCATAAACTTTACTTTGAAAAAAGCCAGATACAATTTGGTTAGTCATGATTCATGTAGGGGCTTGCACCGTTGTGTTTGGATAGCTACATAAACAAGACCATTGTTTTATTCTGTCAAGGTGTCTAGGTTCCACATTGTATTTGCAAAGGCAAGCATAAGTACTCATACTAAAATATGCTTGTCCTTTTCCTTGCAACATGGTAGTTGTGTAAATTGTAATATTATATCCAAAATGGTTCATGCATCATTTCGTGCTCACATCATTTTCTCCCATCAAAATCCTCCTTAGGGACTGGTTCCTATGTTAAATCAGACTAATACTTTCTCTTGAATGAGAATTAAAGTGGAGAGTAAAGGGAACGCTAAGAAAGAAGCACGTGTAAACATTAAGCGGCACCCATTCTATAAGGCTATTCTGTGTCGGTGCTGCTTAATTTTTTATGTCGTGCTCCATATATAAGGCCTATGTGTTAATAAGATATTTATGATTATATGAGAAATTTAAGCAATCTTTCTTCATAAACTCTGGATAAAAATGGGTTCACTTAAATTTAAACCAGTTTCTATATAGTTTATAAGAAAAGATTTAGTAAGCAACATAGCTTCATAATTGTAAATAAGGAACTTTGATAAAATTGAAATGTTTTTGATCGTCGGATACTCATAGATTATGGCCATTAGTTAGTATTACTCTCTTGAAAATGATGCCAACAACATTCTGATTAGGGCCACCACTAGACATGGTTATGGACACTTGATTCGATGCTGGTGGCATCATTGTTCTATGAGAATATCGAATTGGACCTGACAAGTATGAAGAGAATTAACATGTCAAGTATAAGGCATGATAGTATAAGTTTATACTATACGTTATGACATTTTCAGTTGTTTGGTGTAACCATCGTATAGTATAAGCTTATACAACATAATCCCTTAATACATCAAAATGATGTATAACTTAATCCGGCCTAAGGGTGAGAGATAAGGCATGATAAGAGATTGATGTATTAACATCGTTAACTAATGTAATTCTCAAAAATTAATATATTATTTTAATATTAATCTATTAAAATAAAAAATAATTTTTCAATTTTTTTATTTTTTAAAATATTAAATATTTTTATTTTTATAAAAAATTTATATTTTGGACACATTGATCAATAAATTTTTATAAAAATTAATATTATATGATATTTTTTGAATAATTATATAAATTCTTTATTAAAGGATATTTTTATTAAAAATATTTATTTTTATCATATATAGTATTATACAGTGCATTACCCAATACTAGATGATATTATCTTATATAATATATTATTTTATACAATACCGTGCCAAACGCTGAATAGTATTAAAATTCAATCAGGCCTTATACTATCAGATCTTATACTATCATGCCTTATCATATACTATGCACCAAACATGTCCAAACATGCCCTTGATTCGATGCTGGTGGCATCATTGTTCTATGACAATATCGAATTGGACCTGACAAGTATGAAGAGAATGACCATGTGAAATCTGTAATTCAAGTTCAAATCTTTATATCTTTTAGTCAAATATAAACACAACCGCATCATAATTGGGCAACGTGGGGATAAGTGGAAATGTGAAATAACTCTTTAACTTTTTTTCTTTTCTTTTTTTGGTTTTGAGAGTTAATTATACGATTAATATTAGTAACAATTTTTTTTTTTTTTTAAATATTCCAATCGGTTCATTGCTTCCCAACTAATCCGATTCGGGGCGGGTTCAGGATTAAGGCTTTAAACCCCTCCCAAAGATGATACTGGAAAGATTCGAACATATACTCTTACTCCTATACGCCAACTGAGTTGGTTATTAGTAACAACTCTATCCCACTTTTTCTTTCCTCTCAATAAAGATGGATTTAATTTCAGTTTTTGTGTAAAATACAAAAAAAATTACTAGTTGAAAGAACAAACAAGACCCTCTTTTACTTGTTTGTATGTACGCTAAACACATTAATTAGTCTTGAAGAAAAAAAGACAAGTTTTTTTGGTGTGACTCAGGGGGCGTTTGATTGACGAATTTTTTTTGAAATAGTAAGGAAATGTAATAGATAGAGAAATGATTAGAAAAATAGATAAAATGAGATAGGTAGAAAAATATAAAAAAAATTGTTTGGTGAGGAAAAACTTTACTGGAAAAATTAGGTAACTTTATGAAATTAACGATGCATTAAAAACTAGATAACTGGTTTTCTGAAAAATCTCACCTTCAAATTGGGTTTCTAAACAGTGCGTATACAAATTAGATAGAAAGGTTTTTAGTGAAAATACGTTGAAACAAACATGGTATTTTTAAAAGTCATACCTGAGAAACATAGATATCCGCTGAAAAGCTCACAAACAAACACCAGTAAGTGGGAAAGGTGGGTTGGGTGAAGCGTTAAAAGACAAAACTTTACGTGTGAAAAGTGAGAGAAAGGTGGAACTTATTTGAATTTCAATATCCCATCAGAGTGGAGACTCGGTGAAATGCAACAAAGTTAGAAGTTTGAGGAAGCATCATGAAAGTACAGGACTTGGATTACGTATTGGTTCCTCTGGGTTTGTTGGTGTTGGGAGTATATCATGTTTGGCTTCTTTATACAATAATCCGCTACCCTTCTCGCACTGTTATTGGTTTGAATGCTCAGTCTCGTTATCAATGGGTTCTTTTCATGATGACTGTCAGTACTCTCTCTCTCTCTCTTTCCTGTTTTTATCAGTTGAGACTTGGCACTTGTTGTTTCTCACATAAGACCTCTTTGCTTTGGGGGGATGGGGGTTAAATTAGTCATCATAAAATAGTGGAAATCACTGGCTTTCTGTCTTGTAATTTGTGCCATCAGAAAGAGTATTTTTGTTTCTTGGGCTGACTGTTGTTTTGTTTTGTTTTGCTCTGAGAGGGAAAGTGGACAAAGTGTTGTTCTTATTCATAAGGAAGTGAATATTATACTTGTTGGTAGAATTTCTATTTAATACTTGTTTGTCACTCTCTAGTTTGGCCTTTTCACATGGCATGGACCTTGTCCTGTGTCTTTCTCTCGCAATATTATCTGTGTGCTTTATGCTGACTAACTTGATTGATAGATATTGCTACGGGCTTAATTAGTTTGTTAAGCCTCGATGTGGTTAACAAATGCATTGAATTCACAATTGCCTGCTTTGAATGTATATACTGCATATTCATGTCAGAATAAAATGTATTCTGTTGTTAGTTTATGGTATAAAAGAGCAGGCAACATGGTTGCTCGTTTCTATCTTGTGCATGCTTGAATCTGGAAAACCTGAAAGGCCTTGAAGGGAAATGGTCTAATCTTATTCTTGAAATGAAGGGACAAACTTCTAGAATCATAATTTATATGAACTAAGAAGCCATAATAAGTCTATTACTAAATATACAGTGCTTTATTTTGAGAATAATGGTTAATTGATGAAGACATGTAGGGTTTTTCTAAGTTATGTTATATATAACTTTTTCCCTGAACTTCAGTTCTTTCAATATATATGATTGAATTTCTCATAAAATTGTTGGTTCCCAAGGGAACTGGGTAAACAAACAAATTTGGAAGCCAATGAGTCAGAATGGAAGAACTAATCAGTCTGTATTGTTAAAATTGGCTGAAATCATTGTTAGAGGAACAGATCTAAACACCTCCGGGCAGTGAACGGCACAAAGCAAAAAAAAAAAAACAGTCCTATGACATAAATTAAAGAAATTTTAAAAGCGAGTCACTTTAAGCAATTTCAAGCCAGTGTGAAAATACAAATAAAGTGTGCATAAAAATCATACTGTCTGTTTCCTTTTTCTTTCTTTCTGTCTTGCATCATCATAGTGTTCAAACGGCTTCGCCTTTGTTAGTTTGAGAAATGGTTTTTACTTATCTTTTCATTTTGGTGGGCTTGATTTAATATTTTATGATGGCATCAAGAACTATTGCCTACGTGCTATTAGGACACTTGCTACAGTGTCCGGTAGGACTTGGGTTTTATGCCATTACATTTGTCAAGGTTCATATTTTGTGTCACTAGAAAACCTTGATCACTAATAAATGTTTATGAAAGGAATTTGACAAATTCTCTACCTGAGAGGTATTAAGAATTGAAGATACTTGCTACAGTATCCCATAGGACTTGAGTTCTCTGCAATTGCGTTTGTCAATGTTCATATTTTGTTTGTGTCACTAGAAGGTAGACATTAATCACTGATACATTTTTATGAAAGGAATTTGACAAGTGCCTTTACCTGAACTTCAAGAACAACTATAGATTGCTTCATTAGTTGATATTCTAAAGTAGATATTCATTCATCTTAGAGTCTTACTCTCACTTTTATAGGTTCATTTATCCCCTGCTTCAGTCCGTGTATGGTTATTATATATCTGGTTTTGACATGTATTTTACCTGTAATGTTTAGAAACAATTTTGGATTGCTTCAGTTGTATATTTCAAAGTTATTTGCTGAAGTAGATACTGAACCATACACTACTATAGGCTCATAGATCAGATGCACTAGTCTCCATGCATATATGTAGTCATTATATGTATGTTGAAAAAGTTGCATATGTTTTGATTGCCATCCTTTGCCCTCTTTCAACATCCATGTTGATTGGTAACACATTCGAAGTTGATGCTAGTCTTGCCATGACATACCTACACTAACATCTCAATCAGGATTTCTCGAGCTTACTCTGGTCATAGAAGTGGTAAAGCTGTTTTTTGATGACTGAAAGATTATGGGTTCGAATCTAAGAAATAGTCTCTTTGCAATTATGCAAGAGTAAAGCTACGTACAAGGATTACCTCCACCCCACACTCGCTAGTCGGGTTTAACGGGGAGTGATTTTTTTATTCTGGTCATAGAAGTCAGGTGAAATTGCTGTAGGGAGCTGATTTGAGCAATGAAAAAGATAACAAGGTGTTGCTTTGTACAATGTTTTATGGGGCAGGGAAAAAATACGGTGCAGGTTGATATGAACTTTAATCTTTAATAGTTCAGTGAGGTAGAAGGGGCTTCCCATGTAAAGAATTGTATAATGACCCATTAAGGTTGCAAGCATGCCTTTGTGGAATGTCAACGAAGCAAATCTCATTAGCAACCTAGTAACATTCAAATAGAATTTGGATTAGACATGAGCTATGTGAACTTCTCAATAAATGTTCCGTTAATCGGGCAATGAACTGCTACAAAACTATTGGAAGAAATATTGGTGAATTACAGTACAGGTGCCAGTTATTCTGTAATTCAATTTACGAAAAAAATTTCTGCTGCTTACCTTAGTAGAGGTAACTAAATGCATCTCCATTAAGAGTTTAGCTTGTTGAAAGTTGTTTGGGTTTATTCTCTATGAAGGCTCTTCTGTAAATTTTGGATCTCATAGGGAACTCAACCTGTTTTTGTATATCTGCAAATATATACTAAATACTTTATGTTACATTTTCAAAAGACTGGTCCTGACTAAGACATACTAATTCTCATTAAGGAGGCTTTACTTACTGTAAACCTATCAAGTACTGGTGTGATTCTGGGGTTTACTTAGATCGAATATCCTAGCTGTTCATGTTATTATATATAGCTCGAGCTGGTGCCATCTAAGGTTAGATTTAGTATATTGTCTGTGAATTGGATTACTCATAATAATGCCCTCGCCACACCCCATAATTTTAGAAGCCATTTTTGACATTTTCGTAAGTGTTGTTTGATTTTATTTACTAAAGTAGTTGTTTCCATAATAAACTCCCTTGCATTGTTTTCAGGATCCCTTGAAAAATGGGGTTTTGGCCGTTCAAACAATCCGCAACAATATCATGGCATCAACTCTTCTTGCTACAACAGCAATCACACTTAGCTCACTCATTGGCGTTTTTGCGAGCAATGACACAGAAACCAAATTAGTTTATGGCAATAAAACCTCCCTTAATTCTTCAATCAAACGCCTTTCTATCTCGTTATGTTTCCTTGTTGCATTTCTATGTAATATGCAGTCTATCAGATACTATGCACATGTGAGCTTCTTAATCACCTCACCTGCACTGAAAGGCAAAAAGGATTTTATTGAATATGTTGCAAAAACCTTGAACCGTGGAAGTTATTCTTGGTCTCTTGGCTTGCGGGCATTCTACTTGTCATTTTCTCTTGTCCTTTGGATTTATGGGCCCATACCCATGTTTGCTTGTTGCTGCTTCACATCATTTATTTTGTACTTCTTGGATACAACCACTCAAATCACACGGGATCTTCATATCAAGTCATTCAAGGAGAGGGAAACTGAGGATATGGAAGCAGCATAGGTCCATCATTGTAACTATTGTTGAACTTGGTTACAATTATCTTTTAGCACATGGTAATTTTTCTCAAAGTTCAGTTGCAGATTTTCTGTAATTATCTCTGTAATGATAATGATATTGATAACAAGCCTTGAAGCAGTGGTAAGATTGTTTCTCTGAGACCGGAAGGTCAGTGGTTCAAGTTTAAGAAATATTAATATTTATTGAAAAGTATGAGTGCAATCTGGGGTGTCTTCTCTCTATTGTTTTGTAATGGAAAGTTTTTTTTTTCCTTGTGTTTGGGGTTGATTGTTCGTCTCATGCTTAATTGGTGAATAAAGAACATGAGCTTTACTAAGGCCACTTGCTTGTATATGGTGCTCATTCCCATATATTGCAGTTATTGTGTTGAATATGATTCCAAAAATATCATTTCATTGCAAGCCTAAATAGATATGAATGGCATATTTGAAAAAGCATATTATCAGATTTAATTATTCGTTTGGTTTATATCAGATGAAGGCATGCTAAGTCATGTCAGGAGGCATGGATTGAGCATAATTGAGCTTTCCAATACTACTAGTTGGCTTCTATATGAATCACTTAATATGTCAGTACGATGGGGCCATGGGAGATAACAGAGGCAGCAGAATCCCGTACTATTATTGGCAATTTCCATGAACATTATGACAATGAGGAAGATGGCAAAATTATCTGCTATACATATTGGTAGTGGGAATTTCAACATAAAGCTAAATGCTTGCTAATCTATCAGATATACTTTATTCAACGGTATAGCCTGCCATATATTAGCATAACACCTCTCTGACCTGCTTTAGAAAGACAACAATATGAGATTTAAGATCAAGAATGAGAGAAAGAAAGGTTGATACGATTGAATGACAAGTTGGTAAGAACAAGAGCATGGTGGAGGTGATTATGATATTGACATCATCAAGTTGGCCACATGCACATACACATGATCATGATCATGCTGGCCGCGCAGCCAATCCGCCTATGATGCACCGACACTTAAAAAACAAAAATGACGTGTCGTGTCCGACACTTCCCGACACTCCAACACGCGTTGCAGAGACTCAAAAGAAGTTCAAAGGTTGCATTATATTGCATTTTTAATTCCAGCTATTAGACTTGTTGGATTACGACTATCATTTTATTTAGTTTAATATAAATATTTATAATATCTTATGTTTCTTTGCAAAATTGATGAATATTATAAGTTTAATTTTATTTTTTGTTAAATTATTGAATATTAAATATAATATACACTACATAAATTAAAAATATTATTTAATATTAAAATATGTCCTAACGAGTCAAGATCTAACAATTTTTAAAATTAACGTGTCGAAGTGTCATATCGTATCTGTATCTTATGTCCCGTGTCGGGTTCAGAGTGCAATATAGCAATCCGCAGCAGAAAAGTTACAAATTCCAGTGAAATGCATGCTTGTAGTAACCGTCTACTCATAGTATTGCAAGATTACAAAGAAAGGACGCTGTTTTGTTCTTGTGCCAATTTCTCAAACGAATATTTAAAGCTTGACAAAATTAAGCTTCACGCTGATGAATCTACTTTTGTAGAAATCACCACCTCCCCGCAAAGAAGATAAGAGAAGAGAAGCGTAATTATAAGAATCAATTTGAGTAAATATTTACCCATAGTAAAAGTCTTTTCAAATAATCGATTATCTAGATAAGTGGAACCTTATATACCACTCTTCCCAAAAAAAAAGAAATCAGCACATAGTTGTTTCTGTTGAAAATATTCAAGGAATGATGAAACCCCATACTGATTAGAAATGTTTCAAATGAATATTATATAAGTACAAAAAAAATCCATATAACTTGAGATTTTAAGGTTTTGGGTTCATATGTATGTAAATGTGAGTAGTGATAAAATCTCACGTCAATTAAAAACGTTCCAAATGAATATTATATAAGTATAAAAAAAAAACCTATACAATTTGAAACTAAGAATTTTGGGCTACCCCTGTGTTACTAAAACATATGTTTTATTTAAATTTTTTACCTACAGAAAAAAAGTGAATCAATTAATATAAGAAAATAAATAAACAAAACGACGTAGTTTTAAAGTAGACGGAGATAAATATATCTAAAACTGCTTGAGAAATATTTTTCTCATATATATATACGTGGAAAAAGTATTTGTTCTTTTAAATGACATAATTTATATCATTTCACCCTCACAAACACGTGATACCTACACTTTTATTTTTTTGTCTACACTCTCTTCTTCATGATTTATCTCTTTCTCTCACTTAAAATGACACAACTTTACATCCTTTAAAATGACACACATTTTTTTCTATATATAAATTAAAATAAAACTAAACTAAATGACAAATAAAAAAGAAATAGATGAATTTGATCAATATACGAACCTTATTCTATTGTATATAGATAAATCAAAATAAAACATATATGGGTTTATCAGTTCTCAAGCTGTTTGAGATAATTTTATCTCCGGCTAGTAAATCATAACCGTACAAAAATAGATCAATAGTGATAAAGGAAGAGAAAGAAAAAGGGAATCATAATCAAAAAAAGGTGAATCAATTAATATAAGAAAATAAATAAACAAAACGACGTAGTTTTGAAGTGGCCGGAGATTAATTTATTTCGAGTTGCCGGAGAAATGTTTTTTCATATATATATATATATATATATATATATATATATATATATATATTAATTAGTGGACAGTCATCATCCAATAAGATCAAACCACCTACGAAGTTACGTATAATCTCACTTTCAATTTTTAATCATAATTTTAAGTTCTCTTTCCTCTGTTTTCACACTCATCTTTCTCTATCTAGCTACGTTTGGTCTCTCTAAGTTGGTCAGCGATGGTGTAATTGTATTTGGAACAATGCCAAAAAGAATCTTCCTTCTTTCTGTTATTCTTGATCTTTTCAAAGGGATAAGCATTTATCAGCCATTCAAAACTAAATGTTAACATTAATTCTTGATTCTTTAAAGCTAAAACAAGCTAGGCAAAGCATATTACACAACTAGCGAGATCTGCTGATTACACGCATGAAATATAAGTCATTTCGTTACGGCGTGATTGATATGAACATATATTAATAAAGTGAAAAAGAAAATATTTGACTAATCATCAAATAGACAAAGCATATTACAATACTATATTCGCACATTACACACATGCAATATAACACTCCCTCCCCCCTTTTCGTTAGGGTGTGATTTGATATGAATAATATTAATAAAGTGAAAAAGAAGATACTGGTATATATACAGGACACGAGAAAGAAAATATACTAAAGAAATACAAGATCAAACCACATTTAACCTAAACACACTATATAGAGTCTCATGTATTATATTATACTTCTTCCTTTAATTAATTATCATATTACATTTTAACATTTGTTGTCTTTGATTTTAAGCCAATATTACTATATGGGAGTACAATATAATTAAAAAATAAAAACAATGTCTGAGTTAAATAATTTATGTTAATAATTTTATATATTCCTAAGTTTTTGTTAAACTGATTATGTTCTTTAAATGATAATTAAAAAAGAATGTGATCAATTAATCAGAAAATAACCATTTACATCACTTATGTGATTATTTTTTGAAATTCATTTTCCTTGTCCTGTATAATATATTCTTTTGTTAATAAGTACAGCTTTCCCCACCCTTTTTCTTAAAGAAAACAATGTCGAACCAAGACCACCTGTTGGCTGTTGCTACGGATGTTAAATAATCACCAAAAAATTTTAGGCAAAAGCTTTTTATCATACTCATTTAAATTAACAGTTATATGTAAAAAGTTATATGAGTCATATTAGAAATATATTTATTTCTTAAGAAAATATTTTTACACATGTTTACTGTTAAATGTTTAAGTAAAAAGTTTTTATCTACCAAAAAAAAAAGTTTTTACATGAGAATTTAAGAGTGAAATTTAAAGTGGGAACTTCCGACTTTAGGTATACAAAAAAACTTGTGACATAATGTTTATACAGATATGTGTATTTTTAAGTTGATTTACGTTCATAAGGTAGGAAGTTTTGAGTCAAGAAATTATCATTTTAATGTATACAAAAAAAAAAGAAATTATCATTTAATTTATTTTTACCTAGGTAATTACATTGAGTCAAGCGTTATATTTGAAAATATATTATAAATTTTTACCTTTTCGATCCTTTTCAATTCACTGGTTTTATATTCTATCGTATCAAGATTATCATAAAATAATAGGGAGAGGTCATAGTTACAACCTTTTTTATTTACAATCTCTTACAACCATATATCATAACCGTTGATTTCCGTCAATCAACGGTTGTCATTTATTATGAATTAATAATTAATTAATAAGTTTAATTTGCGAAAATCACAACCGTTGATTGACAGAAATCAACGATTATGATATATGATTGTAAGAGGTTGTAAATAAAAAAGGTTGTAACTCTAACCTCTCCCAAAATAGTATTAGCCAATTGGAAGTTGCATCTCAATTGGTATCTGGAAAAAGGGGTCTTTTTCATCAGAAAATAATATATTATTTCTTGCTGATAACTAGCTTTAAGGCTGGTAGGTCAAGGAAATTAAATGAGAGAGCATTTTCACTATTTTTAGGTTCCTTACGGGCAAGACAAGTGATATTTCATTGTTTGTGCGCCTCACATTGTTTACCGGAGATGGTTTCTATGTTGGATTGCAATACAGAAAATGAAACCTCTAATGGAATACATCAATTAATTGGCTAACTCCACTGCTCTGTCACTTGCAATACGTCACATTAATAGTAACCAGGTCATCACACACTGAATTTTCAAAATATACATAAAAATGTCAAAGGTCATGTAATTATCGATAGAGACCACCCATTTGTCCCTTGTAAGTGTTCCCTTGTGTTCTTTCACCAGCTATATGTTCTGGATGGGCCGGATGGCTTTCATGGCTGTCTCAAATCGGTCCGACAAGGTCATGAACACTTAGAACCTAAGGGGGCGTTTGGTTAGGAGAATTTTTATGAATAATAGGAAAATGTTATACATAAAGAAATGGTTGAAAAGTGAGAAAGATAAAAAAATGTAAAAAAAAGTTGTTTGGTTGGAAAAAAATTTATCGGGAAAATTAAGTAACTTTTATGAAATCTCTGTTTGGTTGTAGGTAAAATATAGATAGGAAAACAAGTTGGTTTTACGAAAATAACCCTGTATT